GAAATAGAACGGTCAACTTCTATGTGGTCCCCAGATGCTCACGGTCATTCTACCTGTCATTGCAAAGTATTGTACAGAACTTACTGAATGTTAGAAGTCTAACGTTTATACATTCAACCACATCAATGAGATTCAGTAGTATTTTGTGTCCTGACTCCCACTTCCTGCCTACAAATGAGGCAGTGCTAGAAGCTGTCTACTGTTTCACGCTCAGTATCTACACCTTCTTTCACATTTTTTCCTATATTACAGGGACTAGAAAACTTAGAATCACATTTCTTAGACTCCCTTGTTATCAGAATCCTGGGCTGATTGTATTAACAAGATGCATTTGCTTAGACTGGGAAGATAGAGGGGAGAGAGAGAGCTATTCCTTTCATTCAGGGGAAGTGTTCCACATTCTACCAAAATCCTACTCCCAGTTCACAGGTGTCGTGAAGCTGCGATGCTGGCAGTGGCTCCCTGAAGTCTCCAGGGCTGCTAGCAGCAACAGTGGGATTCTTCACTCGCAATGTCTCATTCATTCCTGTAATTCCTTATTACCACAAATAATATTTCAAAACATCATATGCATGTGGCACAAGCCTCACAGTTATATTAATAGGCTTGTGGGTGATTTTGAATTTTTTTAATTTGTCAGATCTGTTTATTGTTTTAACTCACCAAATAGCTGAAGAAGAACTGGAACCAGCACACATGTCAGGCACTGCTATATCACCACAGCTTCTGCTTCTACTGCTTTTTTTCATTCTTAATTCGGTTTTCTTAAAAACAGGATCCTTTTAAGCCATTATCTGTGAGAGAGTCAGCTTAACCAAAACTGAATACAGTCCATCAATCCATCTAAGCAGCACACACGCATGGCAACACTTCACAGTGGGCCGCAAGCAAAGGGCAAACCCCAGCGACAACCCTTCTCCTCTGGAGCTCACGCCTCTCCCACTTCCCCATTTCTCCCAGCCCCAGTGTTCCAGGGGGTAAGGACTAGGGGGTGCCAGTGACCATCCATATATGTTATCAATAAGGCTAATGTCCTCAGTTAACTTTTTAATCTGAAAAAAAAGAAAATCACACATTTCTCCTGCATTTTAATATATCATCCAGTGTCACCCAGGGTTGCATACCATCACCCCACCATTTCAAAGACCACTGACCTTGTCTTTATTACATAGCCCACATGTTATTTTGGTAGCAACTGAAAAGTTCGAAACACAGACACAGATGCTAATCATTTATAGTATTTGGAGTCCCACCCTGGACAGACTTACTGGTCAAGCGAAGGCTCTTAGAGATAAGCCTCTGATACCTTCACTTGCATATGAGAGATGAAATACAGGAAGCCAGGCCCAGGGCTTCCAATTCTTGGGCCACCTCCCCTTAGTCCCTGTCTTGTTTGCTCCATCATCAGAACCCTGAGGCCTTAAAAGTTCAACTTGGGAACTCCACCAAAGATGAACTGCATTATCTAATTTATGGTCTGAGGACTCTCTTTTTATCCTCACCTACCAAAGAAAATTTTAATGAGAAGAGAAATGCCTTTAACTCAGCTAAAGAATATGGGAGGAGGAGGAGGGAGGAGGCTCTTTCTCACTAGACACTAGTCAGAAATAAGGAGTGCCCCTCTGAGTATCAAACAAAAAAAAAGTACATATTTAGTAGAAAGTGCGCCTCTGCTCAGCATACTGAATACATTAACTCATTACACTGAAAGCAGGAAGTTCAAAACCGGTTAAGTACAATCATTCTTAATAAGCTACACCAGGGGAAGTTAGGCACACCCATAAAAGCTTTGGCATCAGAAACTGCTCTTTAGTCTAGGACAGGGAAAAAGAAGTCTCAACCTGTACAGTTAAGGTCCATCTCTTGGATTCCAAAGAACCTCTGATATAAAGGGAAAATACAGGCCAATTTGAGTACCTCCAGAAAAAAAAATCATGGATTCTGTGGAACTAGAAAATCATCAGAAATCAAGGGAGCCTCTGGTATAGACCCTCTGGCTGTACTCATGGGCTCTAGGAATTTCTGTGCACCAATACCCCACTCTCCTCTCCAATACGGGGTGATGTGCTGTGTGGATTACTGTCTCTGCCCCTAGTAACATCAACTTGCATCAGTCTCATGCATCAGACTTTTAAACAGAATTTTTTATTGATAACCTGGAAAATTATCTTAAGCTTGTCCATTCATTTATTCAAACATTTACTGACCAAAATACGTGAAGCACTATTTTGGAGGTGGAGATGCATCCTAAAAAAAAATCATGTTTTTACCCATGGACTATACACTCTGAAGAAGTAGAGGCAAACAGACAAAATATATTTTATAAGAGCCCAAAATAGCCAACACTGATTTTAAAATGGACAAAGGTTTGAAGGGACATTTCTTCAAAGAAGAAACGCAAAAGACCAACCAGCACACATAAAGATGTTCAATGTCATTAATCATTAGGAAAATGCAAATCGAAGTCCCAAAGAGATACTACTCTTAAACACATCAGCATGGCTACTATTAAAAACAAAACAAAACACATAAAAACAGAAAAAAAAACAAAAACAAAAAACAAGTCTTGGCAAGAAAGCAAAGGAATCAGAAACCTTGGTAGGAGCATAAAATTGTCTGGCTGCTGAGGAAACCAGTTTGGCAGTTTCTCAAAAAGTGAAACATTACCATATGACCCAGCAACTCCACTTCAGAGTATCTACCCTCCAAATTCAAAAGCTGGGTTTGTTCACAGCAGCAGTACAGGTAGTGTTACAAACATCTCACTGATGTACAACTCATGCTTATGAATGGAGGCTATTACAGTTAAGTCCCCGAGTTACAGACATCTGACTGATGTGCGACTTATAAAGGCAGGCTGCTACAGGCAATTATGTAAATATACCAGTTCCAACCTTCATGTAAATTCAACTTAAGAACGAACCTATACAACCTATCTCATTGGTAACCTGGGAACGGCTTATATTCACAACAGGCAAAAGTTAAAAGCCACTCAAGTACCCAGGGACAGACGAATGGATCAACAAACTGTGGTATATCCATACAACGGAATATTATTCAGCCCCCAATGGGAAAGAAATATACAACACAGATTAACCTTGAAGACATCATGCTAAGTGAAATAAGCCAGTATGCTATATGATTCTACTCATATGAGGTACCTAGAGCTGTCAAATTCATTGAGAGAGGAAGATGGCTGCCAAGAGGCTAGAGGGAGGAGGAGGTGGTGAGTTGTTTAAGCAGTGTAGAGTTTTAGTCAGGAAGATGAAGAGTTCTGTGGATAAATGATGGTGACACTTGCACAACAATACAAAGGCACTTAACCCCACTGAACTGTACACTTAAAAGGTGTATTTTACCACCATTTACACACACACAGTATTTTCCAATGATGAAAAGTTCTACAGAGAAAAATAAAGACAATCCAGTGAGGAGTGCTGGGGCCTGGAGCATATGAGTAGAGGGGAGGTTTCCTCATCCCCCCATAGCATGTGAGAATCAGAGGCCAGGAGACAAGGCATGACCTGGGATGCTGGGTTTCTTGTAGGCAACAACACATAAAAGGAGACAGGCATGCTGAGAATCTTAGAGCACCCATGCCAGACAGCGAGTGGGATACTGCGAGTAATGCCTGGAGACACGGAACTCTGGGCTTCTCCCAGACTCCTGCCCGCTCCCAGGATTCACAGCAGGATTTATGACCTCCCCAATCTGCAAGTATAATAACCTCTGGACTATCTCCTCCCTTAAAAAATGCATCTAGCTGGGCAGCGCCTGTGGCTCAAAGGAGTAGGGTACCAGCCCTACATACCAAATGTGGTGGATTCAAACCTGGTCCTGGCCAAAAACTGCAAAAAAATAAAAATAAAAATAAAAAGCAACTAGCAAGCCAGATGCAGCAGCTCACGCCGGTAATCCCAACACTCCAGGTGGCCAAGGCAGGTGAATTGCCTGTGCTCACAAGTTCAAGACCAGCCTGAGCAAGAGCAAGACCCCATCTCTAAAAATAGCCGAGAGTTGTGGCAGGGCATCTGTACTCCCAGCTACTTTGGAGGCTGAGGTAAGAGAATAGAATCTCTTAAGCCCAAGAGTTTGAGGTTGCTGTGCGCTATAACATCACAGCACTCTACCAAGGGTGACAAAAAGGAAAAAAAAAATGCAACTAGCTTTGTCATCTGCTCCTAGCATTGGCAGTTAAATCTCCTGCCAGGAAGCGGAGCTGTAGGTATCTGTCCGTCAAGAGGTTAAATCTCCTGACAAATGGAGTTTCACTGGTCAGCTCATATTTTTATATCAAGCCACTTTTTAGGGTATTAGTTACCCTCAAATGAGCTCCCTCCACCCCTGGACTTACCAGTAGCTTTAGGCCATGATGGAGTGGGTACATATCTATGAAATACTCAAGAGAACTATGTTACTCAATTCTCCAAAAGCTGATGGGGTGGCATTGGGATGCTGGAGAATTAAGTGCACATTTAAATAACTCTTAACTTCAATTATTGGCTTTAGTTTAAGGTTTGTCCTAGAAAGAAAATCCTACAAGTCTCCTTAGTAACCCATACTAAATTATTATAGGTCCCAATCATCATTCATACTTCACATTTAACAATTAAAGCCATACCAGATTAAAACTATCCCCTCTTCAAGCTCGGCATCTGTAGTCCCAGCTACTTGGGAGGCTGAGGCAAGAGAACCGTTTAAGTCCAAGAGTTTGAGGCTGCTGTGAGCTGTGAGGCCACAGCACTCTATTGAAGGCTCCAAAAAAACAAAAACCTATCCTATCTTTAATACACAATTCTAAGTGAGTAAAATAAAGTAGTATCATGAGGCAAGATCTTGATGTTCAAAGATAAGGCCTTCTGAGATCCATTCATAAATACAACAGAAAACACAGGGTCAATTGTTTTTAACAAAACACAAACTATGGTTATCAATCACAGTATTAACAAATAAACAGTTCAATACATGTATGTCAAATATAACGTTTGAGAACTACTTACATCCAAAGAATCCTCCTTCAGTAGGATAAGGGCCATATTCTGTGACACCAACCGGCAGGAATACCCTGGAGTTTGGGAAGAGACAACACATATGACTTTATCATGCTGTGTACTCGGTTTCCAATAGTTCAAGTTCAACCTCCCTTCTTACAGCTGCCTTATTACCATTTTAAGCCTACTGGATCCCAGAGAGGAAGAGAAAGAGAAAGAGAAAGGTAGGAAGAGTAATGTCAAATTGATTTTGATTCTTGCAGTCAGCTTGACTATAACTGAATGTCTTTGTAACTAAAAGCTAAGATAAATGCTTGTTAATTTTGTGTGGATTTTTCTCTGTCCTTGTTATCCTTGCATGAAATTAGGATAAATCTTAGATTATCTAAATAACAGCAAACACTTTAGGAAGACAAATGGAACCCGATAACACTCCTAAATCTGCATAAACATGCCTACTGGAATATTAAGTTTCCTCCTTTTTGTGCGAAAATGTAGATATTCTTTTGAAACCTCAAAAGGTTCCCCCAGAAAATCAGCTATCACCACCAGTTTTTTCTCAGCCACTTAATATACTAGATCAATAATTATAGGAAAATGAAATAAATTATTAGCACATCAAATTTTAACCTTCAAGCAAGTATGCAACAGTCCTAAGAAAGGGCTTTACCCACTACTGTTCCTAAAGCAAAGAAGAGCCTAGATTCCCCTTGTAGAACTAAAACATCCAATTCTTAGATGCTAAATTTACTAGTAAGGGAGATGACAGTTAACTAATGGACAAGAAACAGACTTGCTGCGCTGACGCTCAATACTACTCAGCAGGCTCCTTTCCATCCTTAAAAAATCCTAATAATAGGCACAAAATGAAGACAGACAAAAATAAATTAAGACCAAGAAAAACCTGAGGGTTTTTGGGAGGGAAGCAATATTTTTGTTTATTTTAGAATATACAATGTATATCTCTCACTCACAATTGTCATGTGGAATATTCTAAAAAACACCCCAGAGCACCGATTTATTTTTAAGAGTCTCTCTCTGCTGCCTAGGCTCAAGAGCAGTGATGCAATCATGGCTTACTGTAGCCCTGAACTCCCGAAATCAAGCAATCCTCATGTCTCAGCCTCACAAGAGCTGGGACTACAAGCACACATCACCATGCCTGGCTAGTTTATCCTTTTTTTAGAGATGGGGTCTCACTCTGTTGCCCAGGCGTCTCTCAAGCTCCTGGCCTCAAGCAGTTCTCCTTCCTCAACCTCCCAAGTCACTGCGACTACAGGCATGAGCCACTGAGCCCAGCAGAGCACAAATGTTAAAGCAGAGCATTATGGCATTTAATCCAAAAGGAGTTTTTTATAAGAAACAGCAAAAACATATAGTCCAGGCTTGTTAACGAAAGTTATTCTCTAAGGAATGTGATTATTGTCTTTTATTAAAACTACTACATATTGTTTTTAAGACTAAAACAAACTGAATAATTGAAAATCATAACACCGCATGGGCAAATAGCTGTTAAATCTTTGGGTGGGGGAAAGAGAGAGAGACAGAAGAAACAGTTTTGCATCCCGTTTCAAACTAGTTCAAGTTGGTATTTTAACAATAGTGATGGCTAAGAGTGAGACTCTCTCAGAATGCCATTAAAAGCTCCATCTGGTAAGACTAGAATAATCAAACTCTTTGTTTCCCATTAAAATTTTACAAATGCTTTCTTCCTTCCTCTAAGTTCTTAGATTAGGTCCAGAAGGGAGGTCTACATTTTATTTTCCCTTACAAGAGGGGATATTGCAACTTTAATCATTTCCCCCACGTTAGGCTCATTCTTTCTTCTCCCCGGAGACTTGCCGCAGCTTCACGCACGGTGGACTGTTACAAATTCAGTCCAACCAAGGCGAAAGGACTTACTGGTAGTTTTTTATTTGAACAACAGCTGTACAAGCAGGCTATAATTTTTAAGCCCTAGATTGCTGCTTTATATTTTTCAATTTAAGCAAAATGCCATTTGACAACCGAAGCTACACAAAGATATTAAGAAAAAACTCCCTGTCCTTTTCTCTAGCCAGGGCATGGGGAAGTAAATCCAAATCACTGCCACTTTCGTGGATTTCCATATGCAAAACTAAAAGCTTCTGAGCAGACACAGGCTAAGATTTTTGTTGTTGTTGTTGTTTTAATTTGGATATTGAAGGGAGATTTCGCTTAGAGAGTTAGCACACAGAGCTCGTGCACTCGACAGACTGTGGACTTTAAAACCCGGATAATTGTGACTTAGCTAACGCAGCAAATTAAATGGTGTCAATTCAAGTTTGGTGCGCTTGATTTCTTATGTTTTTGGATAAAATGAGATCAACTCTTGGAGAAAAGCCAGGTATGGAATGTCAATCCACACTTGTAAATTGAGGTGTAGCTCTTTAATCTCGCAATCTAACAAGACGGCCATAAAATGACTGAGAGGAGACCCTCGGGGAGTTCACTTTTTACTACAGCTGAAGTTAATAGCACTGTACAAAAGGGTTTAGTCTTTCCACTACCTGAGTATAATCAACTTTCTAAGTAACCAAAATAGTACAGAGGACTTGATTTTAAGACAATAAAATCATACTTCACACTAGAAAAGATTACCAAACCAGATCTCTCAACCAGAGTCTCCCACACACACACCTTTCTATTCCAGGTCAAGCCCATATTGCCAAAGATATCTAAACCAGTTTTGAAAGGGTCAGGAGAAACAATGTCTCCTTACTAACCATGTATCCTAAGGTCACATCGATAAAACTAGCCATCATTGGGATTTAATCTGGCGCCAACCCTCAATAAGCACGTTGTCGGTTCCAAATACTTTCACAGAGAATCTGGGTCCCTAAAACTGGTAAACTTCACAAGTAGATGACAAAAGATAATCTCTTAGGCTACTACAGTAAGGTCAAAGGGACCCTACTCAGAGTCCCTCACCACCCAGAGAATCCCGGAGCTGAAGACTGGTCCTCAGAGCCACTCGCCTGGTCACCTTTCCCTGCAGAGCTCAGGACCATCTCACAGGCCCTTGCACACCTAAGGAAAGAATGCTCAGATTTACCTCATGAGCTCCTCCCCAAAATGAGCCATCCTGACCCAATCTATGTTCATTCATTTTTGTTTTAGATTCAGAAAGCTCAAGTTTTAAACCTGTCTCATCCATGAAGCCTTTGCTGGTCTTCTGCACTCATGTGTTTTTCCTTCTGGGAAGTGAGTAACAGATATTCTCACACTTGTGTGACCTAGATAAGTTGCTTCATCTCTCTGAGACTCAGTTATCTTTAAAATGGAATAATAACTTTAAAATTCCCCAAAGGAATTAAATATAAAACACATGTAAAGGACTTGGCACATAATAGATAACATTTGCTAGTGACTATTACAAAAGCCAGCTGCACTCAATATTTACACTGCACAACTATCACTTTCTCATCTATTTCATTCTCTAATCTGTCTCATAAGGAGCTCATGCTCCGAGTGGGGAATGTGAGGTCCCAAAGTCTATACTGTCTGGCAACAATGCCAGCTGCAGGTATCCAAGAAATACAGGTACATTTTCTGTAAAAACAACACTAAGATTGAGAATGTCACCAGCCCGTCTTCACCTGAAAATGAGAACTCATCTTCCTTTGAATGAGCAAGGCAAGGTGCAGGTGGTAACAGAATGCACAACCATCAGATTACATCCTAGAATTAAACTTCTAAGACAATCAGACCTATCCTAAAACAGCACACTGTATGCCTTAAAAACACAAAATAAAATTTACTCTGAAAATTTTTTTAAACACTTTCTAAGATTAAAAATATCAAATTATGAGTAAGAAAATTCAAGGGCCTTGGGGACTCAGAATTCCAACTCCGAAATGGTTTAAGAGGAAAGCTATTTCCAACTTAATGACTTCAAAATGGAATACACACTAGAATTTTGTTCTCACTCATCCTATACATATTAGGGGAAAAAAATTACAGACTCTGCAAACCTCATGTCTATTGCATAACTATTTAATAGATGTTTTATCCAGTGATAATAAGGAAATGGACTACCCTATTCACAAGGGCTACATCTGAAATTTCACTTTGGACTAGTGGATGCCAAATATTTAAGCTAAAAAAAAGAAAATCACTAACTCCCCAAAATACAGCTAGTTAGCATAAATTCAAGCATTGGGCTTCAGGATTCTGGCATAATGCCAGTTTCAAACTATTAAACCCTATAAGCAAGATGACTGTCTGAGACAGCCTACAGCTTGATTTGGCTAATTATATTTATTTTCAAGGTATGAACAAAAAGCTATAGTTTAAAAATAAACTATAAAATATATATGTGTGTGTATATATATATTTTCAAGAAAAAATCAAATGTTACAAAAACCCAACAGCCCCAAATGCCAAACAGAACAATGTCACCAAATCTAAAGATGACCTCTTATGGCTTATACCACTAAGAAAACGCTGCCAATTAAAAAGGTTTAAGAGTCAACAATCATAAAATATCCCAATTTCAAAGATGCTAAAATGTCAAAACAGTATGCCCCTCGGAGGGGAGGAAATGCAGTGCCATTCTCTCCAGTCTTCTCAAGTTTCAGAAAATGGTTTTTGTGAAAGCTAGTGACTCCGTTTAAATAAACCTCGGACCAGAAGTCAAGAGCTCTGAGATCTAGTACTAGTTTGGTCATTAAATTGAGTATAACCCTGGGAAACTCTGAATTTCCTCCATGAGCTATAAGACTGTTCGTAGCTAAAGACAAAAAAAAAGAAGTTTTGGAAAATATCCTAGCCTAGTGCCTTGCACTCACCAGACACGCTAATAATTTTCTCTCTTTCCCTCCATTCTTCCGAAAAACAACTGTTAGATACTTATCTTTCCAGTATCTTCAGGAACCCTAAAACATGCATGGAATGCCCTACAAATGTAATATATTAAGAGAGAGGGGAGAATAAAGGTTTTTGTCATCAGTGGTACATGGACTCCATGACCAGAAAACAGGCTTCACGCCCACACTGTACAAGGAGAAGCGGGTCAGGCTGCTGGCAGCCCCATCCATGCTCTAACTCACATTCCTGAGCCTTCTGCATCACCTGTGGGCTCAACAGATACCCTAAATCAGAAACTGACATTGAATCCCTCAACATCACCCAGGGTTACCGTCTTTAGCTCTAAAGGAGAAGTGAAGGAACAACTCTGACACACCTCTGACAGTAAAAGAACACCAACTCCCTAGCTGTGAAAAGCACACTTAGAAACACTAAAGATATATTTGAATTCAAGTCATAACCTAAGTAAAACACAAATAGAGAAGGCCTCCAGGAAGAGTCTAAGACTTTGGCAAAATCATCAGCTGATAAGGAGGAGGCATCATCTTCTGGTGGTCTCGGAGAGTTCACATATTTGCTAAGAAAGATCAAACAAGAAATAACCTAATGGATATGAGTGTTTCTGGCCCCAATACTACTATACCTTCTTTTAAAAAAGTACAAGATAATAAAATCATTATTATTTTACAAAGGACTGATATCAATGACCTTGCGAGGCTCAGAGCAGCCTTTCCGCATGCAAGTACGATTTTCCTTTTGGAGGAATAACCCAGTTGTGTTGTCTGGGTTGACTTTCAGCCCTTATCTTTTCCTTGTGTTTATTCCAAACTTAGCTACACCCTGACACACTCAGGTATAACAAAAGAAGCAAGCAAGAAAATGGCTATCTGTGACCCAGGGAGCAGACCAGTGCAGCTGAGAGGCGGTGAGAGGCGGTTCTGCTGCCCAGGGCATACTCAGAATGCACTGAAGGAAGTTAAGTCTGGGGCTAAGGATGGCGTGGGTCATTAACCCAGCAGGGACACCCAAGACCTGAAAAACTAGGAAAGGTGATCACTTTACCATTCAATTTTTACTTCAGGGTTTACCTGCTTTTTCCACATCACTTTAAGTGGGCAGAAAGCACACCAAACTAAATTTTAGGTGTTTGAGGGCAGCAGTCAACTTACTGTGCCCTATATGAAAAACAGGGGCCACAGATCCACAGCAGGTGTTTCAGGCAAAATTTATGTGGGAAATAACACCTGAAGGGCCAATCTATAGTGAAAGCGTAATCCTTCTTTTATAAAATGCTGCTGACACCTGTAAGTTTGGGGCTTTATTTTCCAGGAATAATGAGTACGCCCTGAAATATTATCACACTTTTATCAAAAGCCATACATTTGGGTCACCACCAGCACAAATCCAGGGACAAAGTCTACAACTGATGCCTCAGAGACTGTTCATGAATCCCGTATCACTACCTTGTGACCTTATCTTCAGTTGTTTGGAAGCCCAAATTGCATTTATTTAGCTATTTCCTTGAAAAGAAATGATTAAATGGCTTTTGTCTATTTTCTTTTAAAAAGATCAGTACTCTGAGAGGCCAAAGCAGGAGGATCGCTTATGATCAAGAGTTTGAGAGCAGCCTTCATGAATAAGAACAGGACCTCGTCTCTACGAAAAACAGAAAAAAAATAAGCCAGGTGCAGTGGTGGTGGGCACCTGTACTCTCAGATACTCAGGACTGAGGCAGGAGGATTACTTGAAGCCAGGAGTTTGACATTGCTGTGAGCTGGGCAACAGAGTGAGACTCTGTCTCAAAAAAATAAAAAACTGAATTTACCCCAGAAGACAAATACTGTTTACAACTGAGGTTATATGAGAGCCAGCGCTGATTCAAAAGAAAAAGTTTTAATACGCCGAAAAAGACTACAGTCACTTAAATTCGGAGTTCTAGTAGATTTTTTTTCTAAACCAAAGTATAGACATAATTACAAAGTCTACCTCTATTTAATATGAAGACAGTCCTTACGCGCTCATTTTATCACACATGCGCCAGGTCTTGTTACACCGTAATGGAGAACCAAGTACTAGATAATTTTTTAAATATTCCAAATAATCAAAGTTCTATTTTTAAAAAATGAGTAGCTTCAATTCTTTCAAACTTAAAATATGTTTAATACTGGGAAAGCTATTCTGACTTAAATTCCCCTTCTTCAACTTTTAGCTCTGCGAGCTTTAGCAAGCAAAGAGGGTGCCAACCAAGATGGGGAAGGGAAAGTGGCAAAGCTCTGAGAAAAATCCAGAAATTGGTAAAAATCATTAAAATGATAATTATGTAAAATAATAACGCACATTTAAACCTAATGAAAACACACTCTATTAGTCTCTCAGACTAAAATTCTGTAAAGGAGTCAATTCCTGAATTCTACATTCTAGACAAACGTGTTTAATTCTTCTCCAGGAGTGATCATGGTCTTAACATTTCTAACAGGCAGATACTGCATATAAGAGCAAATTCATTTGATATGGATAATCTGTCTCGGCTTTGTGAATAAAGAGTTCTACAAAACATCATCTGTCCGTGCACTTGAGAAAGACTCAGGCCCACCTTCAAGATACTTTGAAAAGAAACACAAAAACCAGCCATCACGAAATTATTTTAAAAACTGATTACCTATATTAATTGCAGTTTCTTGTTTGTCTCCTGTCAACACCCATATTTTAATTTCTGCCTTCAACAGAGTTGCTATGGTTTCTGGAACCCCCGCCTGGAGGCGATCTTCTATGGCTGTGGCTCCAAGTAACAGCAAATTCTAGATCGAAAAACAACTTCCGTTAAAGATGGGCACACACTGAAAAGCAGCATCGAGGGCAAGGCTAACAAAGGAAAGGTGACGCAGCTGTCCCGAGAGAGTGGTCTTGGCTTCTCCACATCTGTACTGTCCTCCAGCGTCTACAGAGGATGTATAGGAAGGGCATCTCCAAACCATCCACAGGCTGCACGCAGCCCAGACCCATCACTGCTCTCTCCCTACAGCAGCCTGGTAGGATGGAAACCCCCTGGCCACGGAGCAGACAGACACTGTCCCCTCTTACTCCACTGATCAGCAGCATACTGTTCCACATTTACCATAGAGGAATAACGGATTCTAGACAGTATATCTGGCAGAACAGGAGTAAGAGACCTGTGACACTAAGAATTTGACAGAGAGAGAAGGGAGCCTCAAAGCACCTTAAACTTGAGGCGCTCTTGCTGAGGCTGGGTGTGGATGTGCAGTTCCTCCTGCCCGCTGGTCTGGAAGGCTGCAGAGACTGCACAGAGGGCCTGTCCTCTTGCCTCTCCTCCCTGAGTCTTTCCGAGACAGCACCTCTGCATGGCTACCAAACTGTGGGAAACCCACATGCACCTCACGGTGCATCTGCCTCATCGCTTACTTTGTCACATTTGTCTGATTCTAAAAGTCACTTGCATACTTCCAGTCAAAACTGGGCAAACAAACATGGGAATTCAGTACTACTGCTGCCCAAATTCCATTAAAGTCATCGATGATAAACAACTGAATATAAAACCCAAACAAAAGCTGAGTATAAAAAAAAGCAAAAGGGAATTTAAAAACCAATAAAGGAATGAATTAAGTAAACAGGTGATAGCTTCAAAGGAGGGAAATTGGAAAATTGATAGCCCAACAGTTGCTGACGTTCAACAGAAAAAATGTAGACCCAGATCCCAGACTTCAGGGAATCCAATAAATAGAAGAAAGCTACCCAAGGCCTTGGGCTAACTGAAAAGAACATAACAGGAAAAAAAAAATAAAATCAAAGCAGGCGATGTGGAGTAGCAAGGGCAAAGCTTAAATGTTATTGGAATGAGTAAGTGTGAAAAGCCTGAGGGTACATGTCCAAGCAGCCCGGGCAGCACTCTGATTGCTCCTGTAACCAGGGGGATGAGCTCATCCCATTCAGCCCATCTTAGGTAAACCCAGAAAGTTGCTGACTCTGCTTTTCTCCTGATATTTCTTAAGATATCATTAATGCTTAGCTGAGGGGTGCTGAGCTAGATCTCCCAGGTAGCACATGATTGCTAAGTGCTTCTTAACACAAAGAAAGAAATGATTCAGAACTAATCAACTGGTTGATTACGACACTTACCAAAAACGAGAGAGAGAGAGAGAGAGAGAGAGAGAGAGAGAGAACATCACTATATAGTACAAGGATTCCTGTTCACAGACGTGTTTAATCAGTGATTACCTTTTCAATGATCTCATAACACTCTTCTAGCCGCTGAGCTCTGTCTTTCAGTATGGTGCTGGCTTCCTCATAGACTTTCAGCCACTCCTCGTATTCATTCTCAGAGAGATCGGCATAAGCCACACACAGAGTCCTCAGACCTGCAGAACAGCCACTGGTGAGTGGGGCAAGCAGACATCCTACCTCCTAGGGGATGCTGTGTGGCTGCCTTTGGTATTAGTATGCTCAAAGGAATTAAACAAAATATGTGCTTGGCCAGTCACTATAATTCAACATTCATTAGCTACAAAGGAAATTTTTTTGTTTGTTTGTTTGTTTTGAGACAGAATCTCACTATGTTGCCCTTGGTAGAGTGCCATGGCATCACAGCTCACAGCAACCTCAAACTCCTGGGCTTAAGTGATCCTCTTGCCTCAGTCTCCCAAGTAGCTGGGACTACAGGTACCCACCACAATGTCCAGCTATTTTTTTGGTGGTTGTTGTCATTGTTTAGCAATCCCTGGCCAAGTTCAAACCCACCCACCCTGGTGCATGTGGCCAGCACCCTAACCACTGAACTATAGGCAATAAGCCTACAAAGGAAATTTTTTTTCTTTTTCTTTTTTTTTTTTATTAAACCATAGCTATGTACATTAATGCAGTCATGGGGTACAGTGTGCTGGTTTTATATACAATTTGAAATATTTTCACCAAACTGGTTAATATAGCCTTCATGGCATTTTCTTATTGTGTTAAGACATTTATATTCTACATTTAGAAAGATTCACATGTACCCTTGTAAGATGGACCATAGCTGTGATCCCATCAATCACCCTCCCTCCACCCATCCTCCCCCACCCCTCCCCTCCGTCTCCCCTGTCCCCATATTCTTGAACTATAATTGGGCTACAGCTTTCATATGAAAGCTATAGGTTAGTTTCATAGTAGGACTGAGTACATTGGATACTTTTTCTTCCATTCTTAAGATACTTTGCTAAGAAGAATATATTCCAGCTCCATCCATGTAAACATGAAGGAGGTAAAGTCTCCATCTTTCTTTAAGGCTGCATAATATTCCATGGTATACATATACCACAATTTATTGGTCCATGATCTATGGGCACTTGGGCTTCTTCCATGAATTAGCGATTATGGATTGGGCTGCAATAAATGTTCTGGTACAAATATCTTACAAAGGAAAATTTTAAGATAGCTCTCCTGGCCATTAAGATAGCTCTCCTGACCAGGGGCGATGGGTCACGCCTGTAATCCTAGCACTCTGAGAGGCCAAGGTAGGAGGATTATTTAGGCTCAGGAGTTCAACATCAGCCTAAGCAAGAGCAAGACACTGTCTCTACTAAGAGGTAGTCCCAGCTATTTGGGAGGGTGAGGCAGGAGGGTCACTTAAGCCCAGGACTTTGAGGGTGCTGTGAGCTAGGCGGAGGCCACATGCAGCAGAACTCTAGCCTGGGGCAACAGAGCGAGACTCTCTAAATAAATAAATAGATAAATAAATAAATAAATAAAACAACTCTCTTGTGTTCTAATACAAAACCACTTTGAGGGTACAGGGAAGGAGATAAAAGTGAAGTCTCCCCAGCGCAGCAGTCCGTGAGCGCTGCATATTTGTAGAGAAGGCAGGAGGCCTTTATTAAGACAGTAAACAAAAGCCTAATGTGTTATCACATGACAGATCCAGGCTTTCCCGCAGCCACACCCATGCATGTGTGTGTGTGTGTGTGTGTGTGTACACACACACATGTGTGCGTGTGTAGCCACAGAAACACTAAGGCGAGAGGGTAGCAGTCAGCCCTTGAGCACAGCTCTAACTACCATCACATTTGCTAGCAGGAACACCTGACATTGGTGTTATTTAAAGCCTTCCAGAAAAATCCTTTCTTGCTTACTGTGGGTTCATGGATTATTATTTCCCTCAGTCACAGATAAGCCAGTGTCATAAGGATAACAAGAGAAGGACAGGAAAATAACCATGAGTCTTCTGAGAGAGAGACCAGTAGCAAACACCATTCTCCACACTGAGCATTGGGCTGCCTTCTTCTCCCTCACTGAGTCGGGAGGTGGCCGCACATCTTGTCCCTGCCACAGGCTCAGGATGTGCAGGTGGTAGGGGACAGGGCAGGACTAGAAGAATATGCAACTATAAAGCAAGGCCAGCATGCCTGAGGTTGCAACTTCAATGGTTAAATAGAACATTTCCAAACCACACTTACTTACCTTCTGTGGCAAAATATTCCAGGTGGCATAATGTTTCCTCCATGTATTTTGAGTCTTTTGAAAGTCTCTCAAAAATTACATTATCCTATAAAATAGGGAAACATCATGATTGGCAAACCCTTCAATAAACCCTCGAGTCAGTCAGCTTGCTAAGCATGGCTTTGTTTTATTAGTGTTTATCTAATGCATGTGAGAATACTTGAGTGGGTACGTAGGAATATACCTCCTGGCTGGGCTGAGGCATGAGCTTTGGAAAGCAAATTGGATCTGGATATGTCCCACAGCACCAAAATCTTAAAAGTCAAACAGAAATCTGTTGGGGAGGACCAGAAGTGCCAGAAGAATCATCTGGGACACATGGGTGCCTATACTCATCCAATTTGCAAAACTCATGTCCCAAAGTTTAGCATGCCTTTACACAGTGGAAAGGGTAAAATCCACATTCCAGATTATTCAAGTACAACCTCGCTTTCTGCACTGGAGGACCTTCTAACCAGGGAGGGCACGGCCACTGGACACCAAACCCCATTCTGCCAAGTAACACCCAAGTGCACAAAGCTCATGCCCTGTGACTCCCTCCATGACTGACAAACAGAGCTGGAAGCCTGGATAGCATAGATCATCTATAAAATGTGCTATAAGTTGCATAGTTTTAGAACACTAAAACTGATGTCAGAGAAATGTAGTTTAGTTTGAAGGAGCAGGTTTAGAGAAAATTAAATCCAGTAAAAATGAAATACCCTTTGCAGCATTTTCACAGGTATGCTGTCCTACATTCACAGCTTTCCTCTCTCTACTGCCATGCACTGACCCTGCTGTACTTGCTGTGTTACTAAGAAAACAATGGCAAATAAGAAAGCAAATAAAAAGTTTAAAAAATACACTGTATCACATGAAAACAAAATCTAGATGATTGTAATTTAAGATACTGCTACACTTAAACACAATGTCCAGATATAATTCCTTTAGAATTCCCATGCATTCTCATTTTCAAAAAGCCTTGGTCACGTCAGCCGGGTGATTCACACCTATAATCCTAGCACTTTATGAGGCCAACACACGGGGGATCTCTTACGCTCAGGAGTTTAAGACCAGCCTCAAAAAGATCAAGACCTCATCTCTACTAAAAATAGAAAAATTAGCCAGTGTTGTAGTAGGGGCCTATAGTCCCAGCTACTCAGGAGGCAAGAAGATCACCTGAACCCAGGAGTTCGAGGTAGCCCAGTGACAGAGTGAGACTCTGCTTTGGGGGGGGGGGGAAACCTTGATCATAATGTACTCAAATAAGATCACCCTTTCCCACGATTAGTAAAGATAAGTAAGATTTCCAACCGATCACTGATCCTAGGATAGTTTCGTATTCTTAACAGAGTCTCATAAGCTGAATTCTTTTTCCCTCAATACATATGACCCTGGTTTAATAAGATATAGTTTTACAAGTAAGAGTCATAAGCAATAACATCTTTTCTTAGAGATAATACATTTAGATTATGAAAACAATCCACTTAGAGATTTGCCTGCTAGAAGGAAGACAGGACCAAAGTGGACAGTACAAAGCAGCCACACACGGTCTCCCTGCAGCTACGACACGGCTCCCTGTGATGAATAAAAAACCCAACCACACGATTGAGAATAACAGCTGCTAGAGCACCAACCTATATATCAGAGTAAAGATTATCACAGGTCAATACAAATGGTTTTATCTTCCCAAAGTCAAGACACAACAGTGAAACTGCAATCACAACTCACACTCCAAGGATTTTGCATGATTCGTGGAAGGGCCGTGTCTGAAGCCAACTATTGGCTAAAAGCAAGCGTCGCCCTGACAGTCCCTGCCATGTTGCCTTGAGTGGCATCACTCTCAGTGAACCGACAGCCAGCCTGGGAGAGCCTCTCAACTCTGGGCAGGCAGGACAGGGCACAAGCAGGGTCGGGAAGCAGCTGCCAAGACCTCTGTGCCATGCAAGACACTTCGCAGATACTCACAGCGCCTTTACAGTAGAGACGAAGTTGTCCTGAAGGCGTTCGAACAATTACAGACATTCTTTTTCTGTCACTAGGAGAGTTAAAAAAAAAAAAAAAGTCATCATCAGTCTGTTTATGGGAGCACGTCCTAGAAATGAAACAATCAAAACAAAAGGTCGGCTGGCACTTCTAAAAGTGGCCAAGCTCCATCTTTCCCTCCCTTTTTCCTCAATGTGGGACTTCAGTGTGAGTATGTACAGGCTATGCTTTTTATTTACATCTAATGGACTTAAACCTATTTCCTTCCCTGCCATGAAAACTCGCTAGCACAGCTACCCGCAGTAGGAGGAACAGGAAAGTCAATTACAGCTAATTGACTTCTGACCGTACCCTCCACAGGTATTATTCTCCACTTGACAGCTCTCAACTATCAAGTAACTTTGCCCGGTAAATGGCAAAGTGGGAGATTCAGTGCAGATCCACTTAACTCTAAAGCTCCTCCTCCTGTTATCTCCTAATGCGAGTAGAAAGAAATTACAAATTCATAGAACATCCCTAATGCAGCACCAGGGAACTCGTTCTGGCCCGCTTCTTACCGCGGCGCACACATTTCCTCACACATCTTTCATCACGGCCCCCCTCACTTAGGAGATGTCAGTGACTCCCCAGTGCCCATGAAGTCTTCTCCCCACTCACCCCAACCTGTGCAGCCTCACCTCGTCTCCCACTGGCCCCCCCATATGCCACCACCAGGCCTCAGACACACAAAAGACACACCTTTCTCCTTTTTCTACACATTCTGATCTATGCTTTCGCCAATGATGTTTCATCCTTCTGAAACACACCCCACCCAGACCCCCCACCTCTGTGGCCTTTCAGTCTGGTGAGCCCCACTGGGCTACAAAGTCCCCAGAATGGGGGAGTTTTCTCTGCAGCCCTCTGTTGATCCCCACATCCTACCCCACAGAAATCTCTGACCTGGGTTTGCCTTCCCTCCCAACTACCCAGCTGTCGGGTGCTCTCGGCAGACTCCTCTACCCTGTGTTTCACTTTCTCAATGTGTAAAGCAACTACTTCGAGGGCACACAGTCAAGATTAAGTGACATCAGGAGAAAAGGAGTCAATGAAAAAGAAAAAGAACCACAACTATAACCACAAACGATCTTCCTGTTCTTTTTCTGCCGTACCTATTTAACATGTATTCGTGTCTTTGTCCACATGCACCTGTTTTTATCTAACTCCCTTTTCTCCTCCTTGCTTGTGCATTAACTGCTGGTCCCACAAAACCCTGCACAGTTTCCAAGAAGAGAGGGACATAAAGACATCCTGAGAGATGCCCTCATCTCTACACAGAGAAGCACCGTCACCACTCCCCGCGTGAGCTAACACTGTCATCAATGTCCCCCTGGCTCTTTTTTTAAATTGCAGATTTCGGATTGATAGGAGGGTATAAATGATGATGTTACATTGTTTACATTTCTTAGTCCCTGGCTCTTTCATTGAATACTTAACCTCAAGGATTCCTATCTGACCAAAGTTCAAACCTACAGTCCTAAAACTAAAGACTAAAGCTGGAAAGTATTTCCTGCATTGGGACAAAAAAGTGATCTTTATCAAGTAACTTATAAAGCAGGCAAACGAATGTGTGCATCATTTCACAAAGTTTACTGAAAAAAACCCTTAATTTCATAAACAAGAAAAGATGCTTTTGAGACAGCAAAAGCGAGACCCTTGTTCTAGCGCTTACAGTTCGGAGTTAACAAGGGGGAAAGAAAGAAAACAGTAAGATATGTTTCTCTACAACCAACTATGAACGTTCTAGGGGAACAAAAGAATCCAACAAATGTGCTTAGGTCTTAATTTTAAAAATAAACTGTGCCATGGGTGAACGCTTACAAATATATACAGGAGAAATACCCCACGTGAACTAAGGCTCTAATGGACGAATTGATCTAATCTGTCATCATTTGTACGTTTCCCAGATCTCCAGAGGGCTCAGACAAAGCAGAGGAATGACCTCATGGAACTTGGGAAACGCCAATGAAAATAATGCCCTCATCACATACTCCCCTCCCAGCTATTCAGACATGTCTGCAGATGCCTATGCAAGAACGCCAGGTTCGAGAAATCTAAAAAATAGAGGACATTTCTTTTGAGAGGGGACAAAGAAAAATGACCTTCCTCATTTTCTAAACTAAAGTCACAAATTTCAAAAAGAGAATTTGTAGAGACATATTTACTATGATGTATGGTAATACGTACTCTGTTGAACCAGACCACACAATCATGCAAGCACTCTCTGAAGTTGCCAAATACATGTATTTTAAGTATATGAAAGAGAAACATACCTAGAAAATTCCAGGACATTAAGAATTCCAAATGTCTGCTCTTGTCCCATCTAAAAAAAAGAAAAATAGGCTCTTACCTGAGGTACAACGTATTAAAATATCAAAGCAACTGTTGTCCAATAGTAACACACACAGACAACACACAGTCCCCCTTCCAGCCCCTTGCAACATGTACTGTTTTCTCCTGTCTGATGGGGTTATAGCTCCCTCTTCTGGTAGGAGCTTCATTTTGCTTCAGTTACCTGGTTGTCCTAACAGCTGGCTGGTGGTCTAGCCACTTTCAAAAGATGAAAGTAAGGAAGCAAGCTGCACTATCCATCAGAAACCCTGGGGCCAGTTATGCTTCCGAATTCTTAATTTTGCAAATCTCTTAAAGGTATATGCGCATTCAATACTTTAATATAGCATATTCAAAATCAAATACTATACTGTCCCCAACAAGGCAGAGGGTAACACCCTGTTATTTAACACATCTATTTTCCACAACAAAATGTCTAAATATCACATGAAGTGAGACCTGTACAGATGTTAAATAAATTCATGCAGGTTCTCCTTAGGTTTTGCTACCAAATTACTATTTCCCAAACTTAGGAAAAAAACTTTGGGAATTCAAAAGCTTCTAGATTTTGGATTTACAGATAAGAGGTTATGAATTTGCACCTGGTTTCCAGGCAATTAATCAAATGCCCATTTGGGGGGATTCTTTCAAATCAGAATGTCAAAATTCACAATGTTTTCTTTTTGAAAAATTCTGGCTGAAGCATATGCTGTTTTCAAACTTTTAAATCTAATCTGCTATTTCCCCAACACACCATGGTGGAAAGAATGTAGCCTTCAGAATCTAGGAGAGGAGTTTTAATACAGTGTGTGACTTTCTTATGAATGGTCATTTCTTGAAAGAATTAATGAAGTAACACATTCAAATTACTAAGTACATGACTAAATATTTGTCATCTTCACACCATAACTCACCACTTCATCTCTTTGCATCCTAAAATATGACTATGGAGGGCTCAGTGCAGTAGTTCACACCTGTAATCCTAGCACTTTGAGAAGCTGAGGAGAGATGACTGCTTAAATCCAGGAGTTCAAGACCAGCCTGGGCAACAGAAAGACCCCATCTCTTAAAAAAATTAAAAATTAGCTGGGTATGGTGCTGGGTATGGTGCTGTGCATCTGTAGTCCTAGCTCCTTGGAAGAATGGGGCAGTAGAATCACTTGAGTTCAGGAGTTTGGGTTGCAGTGAACTATGATGATGCCACTGCACTCTAGGCCCGGGAAACAGAGACTTTGTCTCAGAAAAACAACAACAATAAAAAAATACGACTGATGATCCACTTCCTCCAGTTTTCATCAGTCTTGATTCACCTTTCTCTGGATCTCCCTGTTCCCCTTCTCCTCAGCCTGTCTTAACCTTCTGCCAGATGTCTGTTTAGAAAGACGCCCGCTGCTACCACCACCGCTCAGCACCAAGGATGCAACCCTGGAACCACCACATTGTATCAACCACTTCCATGAGCAGCCAGTGGACTCAGCTATTACAATCAACATGGATACTTCATGTAAATACCTGATGATCACGTCACCAATTTGAGAATTTCTGGCTCCTACTTAATACTTGAGTGGGATTGTAAGAACTGTTAATCATTTACAAACCCTAACTGATCAGGTGATCTTTCCTGACTCCCAGAAATACAACCTTAAAACTTTAATAAAATAATGAAAAGGTACCGATGTGGCATCTCACACCATGACGATGCCAATAGGCCCTCTAGTCTCTGGTATTTATCTGGCATCATGAGCTGGGTGTCTGTCCCACTTCCACTTGGCCAGTCCGTGCTCCCCATCCCACCCTCCACTGCTGCAGAGCACACAACTGAAAATTCTGCAGGGCAGGAGGAAAGTCTCCTCCAACTGGAGGTGAAGAAGACCTCATGTCTAACAAGCTTCTGTTATAGGAAGTTCTATACTCAATCAGTACTTCATTCCATGCTATGATTTCTCCATGCCAAATTCTCTCTGTTGATTAAAATAAAGTAAAAATAAACATGATCTGATCTCTCTACTCCCTAAGAAAAGAAACTAAAGATGCCAAGAGATGGGCACTTTGTTAAAGACACAATAGTGCATAGGTTTTGTATATAAGTAAAAGAAAAAACTGACAGCAGTTCTACCAAGTCAGGAACAATATGAATAAAAGTGGTGTAGGGATTTAAGAACACATGCATAAAGCCTAGAACTATGATAATCCATGAATCTTCCCCAAAATGAGGGGTGAAGGAAGGTGAGAAAAGTGCCTGCCCCAGGCCCACCAACCCAGACAGGAGTCAAACACAGCTGGTCCAACTGGTCGTCACTGGACACAGCAGCACCTCACCAGTCCTAGCCGTCATTTCCTGTCTGCTCATCCCAAGGGTCCCTGTTTAAGCATATTTTTTATATAATTTTTTTCCTATCACTAAATTTTTCCCTCTGCATCACAGGAAGAAACAGGAAAAAACTCAAACAGGTTAGAGAGATTGGGAGTAAAATGGACACTATTCAGGCAATGGGCACACCGAGAGCCCTGACTCAGGCACTATAAAACTTCTCCATATTATAAAAACATCTATAAAATCCCTTAACGTTTTAAAATTTAAAAAAAAAGATTAGAGAGAGATCTGAAGCTCTGAATCCTTTCTCTCTCAACTGGAGTTAGAATGAAGACCAGTGTGCAATATCTTACACTAAGAATTGTGCAAGAATTGTCAGGCCCTGATGCTGCAGAGGGGTGTAAAGCCCGCCCTCCAAGACAGATGCACCATGAAGTTATTTTTCCAACTATCACAGAACAAAGAGCAGACTTAGGAAGCTCTTTGCTGCAAATAATTTCACATGAAAGACTGCGGGGAAGCATGGTAGAGTCTGGTGCCCCCGCCGCAGCCTGCATCACAGCCACCGCCCTGCGATGACCACTGCCGCCTCCTGCCCTGTAGCCGCCGCCACAGCCGCTGCTTGTGTCACCACTGCCTTGGGACCGGCTGTATGATTAGGCCACAGTCTTCAATGAGTAAACATATTCCTCAGTTCTGTGGTGTTCTTGGTCACACATTTCTGGAGTTTCTGAAGGGCAGTGGAGATTACCGCCAGGCCCAGCACGACCTCTACGCAGACAAGTGAACTGTAGAAATTCATTACTACTCCACCAAGAAGCCCCCGTAAGAGTGGTTAACCTGGACACAGAAGTGTTGCCTTGAGATCTGCAGAGCATTTTACAAGAGTTCTGACCCAGATGGGGTAAACCTCAGTGCACTTCCTTTCTGTTGCCTCGGTATCACTGGATTGAAGGGTTGCTGTTTCTTGTTAGGAGGTTCATTTCCATTTATCATTACTTCCAACTTCATCCTCAAAGCACTGAGAATTTCAAGTGGACTATATTGAAGTAGACTTCAGTTTATTTGCATCATTTCTGTATTCAATTTTTTAAATTCTTTCATAACCCTTTTTAACTAAATTAACATAGCTAGAATGAACCACCCAGCTCCTGTAGAAGTCACATACAAGAACATGAGATTTCTTATGACACACAATCCAACCCATGCGACCTTAAACAAATTTACAGAGGAACTTAAGAAGTATGGAGTTAGCACAATAGTAAGAGTGTGTGAAGCAACTTATGACACTACTCTTGTGGAGAAAGAAGGCATCCGTGTTCTCGACTGGCCTTTGGATGATGGTGCACCACCATCTAACCAGATTGTTGATGACTCATTAAATCTTGTAAAAATCACGTTTCGTGAAGAACCTGGTTGTTGTATTGCCATTCATTGTGTTGCAGGCCTTGGGAGAGCTCCAGGGCTTGTTGCTCTCGCATTAATTGAAGGTGGAATGAAATATGAAGATGCAGTACAATTCATAAGACAAAAGCAGCGGGGAGCTTTTAACAGCAAGCAACTTCTGTATTTGGAGAAGTATCGTCCTAAGATGCGGCTGCGCTTCAAAGACTCCAATGGTCATAGAAACAACTGTTGCATTCAGTAAAACTGGGATGCCTGATGCTGTTGCCTTGGAAGTAAAACTTGAGACAGGACCTAATGTGTCATATGTACATGTATTAGCCAACATGTTGGCTGGATTAATGAAGCTTCCATAGGAGTATTATAAAGCTGTTTTACCAACAGAATTGCAACCTCTATGTTTGGGTTACTGTCAACCTTTTTGGACACTGAGCAAAAGATTCTTGCTGCTCAGCATTTAAGTGTGCTTATCATTTGTACCAAATGACCTTTCCTGAAATTATGCGGTATTACTGAGTTATGTCTTGTTTAAATCTATTCCCGTGCCAGAATCTTATCAACATATAAGAAATTTAGAAAGATGAGGTGCCAAAATACCCAGCACAATATTTGTATACTTTTAGTATTGTGCAGAACTAAAACACCAGGAAGTATGAACACTCCAGACCTTGTGTGGTTTATCCAGTCATTTCAGACGTTGAAAGAAGACCCATGGGTTATTTGCCTGCTTGCTTTATGGTTACATCTTCCGCATTTATACCAGTATACATCAGGTTTGCTCAACCATTGATTTTTTTTCTCTTTTGGATTTTTACCAGGTCTTAGAGTGATTAATGTCTTTCTATAAATCTCATTTTGTGCTGTTATAAAAAACCTTCATTTTGAAAATCTACATAGCACAGAAGCACATGTCTTTACTGTCTTCAGACAAAAAAAAGCCTTACAGTCAATTTAATGTTTGCACTCTGAGGTGCAACTTAACAGGGAGGACCTGAAAAAATGAATGGGAGGGGACTATTAAATATTTTCAGCAAAATGTTGCCTTTGTCTTGTGCAAGACATGTAGAAATACACGCTCTCTAATTTAGTAAATATATTTTAAAAGGTAGAGATGCTTTGTTAATTGTAGCTAAAAACAATTCTTAATCATAAAATTTCTGAAATTCTTGTAATTTTTCCCCATACTTATCAGAAGTTGTTTACCACCTTATTTTTGTTCAAAGTGTGATTTTTTTTTCCTTTTTTCTTCCCAACCTCTTGCAAAAAAAAAAA